CACATCTTGCAGATGTAGCATCTACAGTGAAAGGTGAGGTAAAAGCCCCTGTTCGGAGCTGGTAAGAAATGGCTGAGCCAAGATTCGAATCCAACAACTGTCTGGTCCAGTGCCCTGCGTTCTTTATGAACACGTTCCTGCCCCTTGGAGGATGAGAGGAAACGTTACTCCATGTTCTCTTTTACTTTTCATTTTTCTGATATGGACCCTCCGTTCTTAGCCTTCCTTTGTTGGGACTGTGGTCTTTTTCTTACCAATTTGGATTATTTCTGAATACAGATCACCACGTCATCATTACGCTTGGTGATGACATACCGGGTCACTTTTCCCTACAATGCAGGTACAGGTTGCTTGTCTATTACCCGAAATGATTGGAAACAGAGAGAAGTGTCTGGGATTTCAGATGTTTTTGTTTGGAATATTTACATATCCATAATGCGATTTCTTGGAGGAAAGTCAGGATCCAAGTCTAAACACAGGATTCTTGTGTATTGTATATGCTTGATACGCATGATGTAAAGGTGATTTTCTGTGCTATCTTTAGTGCACCTGCATTTTGACTGTGACCCATCTTGTGAGGTCAGATATGTAATTTTCCATTTGTGGCGTCGTGTTGGGGCTCAGAAAGTTTTCGATTTTTTGGAGCACTTCAGATTATGAGATTAAGGACATTAAACCTGTACTGTTTTCATTATGCAGATCTTTTTAATGTACAATTCTATTAGTTTTTTCTTTGTGATCGCTTGTATTATTTAAAAGCTGAGAAAATTATTTCTCTTTTTGAAATTTTGATTTTTTTCTATGATCAGGCTGTTTTCTATTTGACTCTAATTTGTTTGTTATTAATTATTCTCATTTGTCGTATGATTTGAGAAGTGAATACAGTGTTTTCATAATTTAGCCCAAACCCACTTGTCACGTAATCTTTCCTTTCACCCCAAGTTGAGTAGCCTGTATTTTGTGTGTGTTTGTTTGTTTTTGAGTAGCCTGTCTTGTATAAGTCTTACTCCATCATCTTGAATCTCAATTTCTGCCCACTGGCTTATATTTCTATTTTACTTTGAATATTATACTTTTGTATTACTATTCTTTACTTATACACTGGTTTATTATATGACTAGATCAATTTCCTTTGCTGGAAAACTGATTCAAATTTAAATCCTAGATAGAAAAATGAAATCAAATTAGCAAAATGCCGTATCGGAGAAGACATGACATATAGGAATAATAACTTTTATTGTTGCTTAAACAAATTCAAGAACTCCAATCTGATCTAGCATTTCCTAAAGAAAACTTACATATATTCTTATCCATTTCATTTTTAAATAACTGTTTTATAATAGAAGTAACAAATACTTTAAAGTGATTTTTAATTAAATTTGAAGGTCAAGGAAAGTACAAGAACTCTACATTCATTTCCTAGATTAATCCATTTATTTCAACAAAGATTTGAAGAAAAGGCACCACATGCCAAAGTCTAAGCCAAGCAGTGGGTGTAGCTGTAATCAAGATAAAAATGGCCCCTATCTATTGGGCATTAATGGGAGGACAGATATTAAACAACAAATTCCCATGAAAGGGTGAACTTACTAGGTTATGGTAAGGTGAAAAGGGGTTTCAGGAAATGTATAGAAGTCAGAGATGTCTTCTCCAGGAGCGGTACGTAAGCTGGGGGTAAGGGAGAAATGTTCCTGTCAAAGATGAGAGAAAGGAACAAGGTGTGTGTGAAGATGCTTAACATTTTCCCCTGGCCCTTACAGATTCAAATTTGCCATATCGGGCCGGGGATTTAGCTCAGTGGTTCCACCGCCTGCCTTGCAAACACAAGGTCCCAAGTTCAATCCCTGGTACCAGAAACAAAAACAAATTTTCCGTAGTGCCCAACATAGGACAAGGCTGCTTTAGGTAGGAATCGGTTGCTCTAAATCCCCTGCCCCTTGAAATACAGGCCAAGCTCTAGAGAGGTCCTCGCTCAGGCTGTAGATTTGGGTATAGCATTTGGTCCAGATGGAATTGTTCAGCAGGACTTCCACAGGCTTTGTTCTCAGATGGCTACATCGATCGGCTGTACACGTGTGTTGGGATGGAGTTGGTTGATTTCCATAGCTCTGGGTTCTTCAGCAGAGCTGTTTTTGTTCTCTTACGCTGTTACTGTGAATTGCGTCACCTATAGGGTGCAAAATATGAATGACTAACCTGACCCAAAATCCCATGCTTCGGAAAATGGGAATTAATTGGTGGATCATTCGGTCTCTGTGGCAACAGAAAAGGAAACCTGCTTCCCAAGGGACTACCAAATCCCCCAGGGGCCCGAGGGTTAGGGTCCCTGGGGCATAAAGTTGTACCACACACGTGCCAGTGTTCTTTCGCCTGGCAGCTACTCCAAGACCGACCCAACCGTGTCCTGAGTCCCTAGGCATAAGTGCCACCACTCCTCAGGTGGCAGTCCTTCCAGAAGCCAGGTCTCTTCAGAAGCTGCTAAAACCACCGACCTACATGCCCAAAACTGCACACATGGGAAAAGGAAATCAAAGCCCCTACCCGTGCTTAACAGCAGGCTGTGTCAGGTGACGCCTCAGCAGTGTATAAAGTTCTCCTCATAAAGCCTGTCGTTTGATCCTCACAGTCATTATTAGATGAAGACACTGAGACTCAAACACGGGTGAGTGCCTGGCCCAAGATCTAGAGCTAGTAAGGACTATGGCTCAGATCATCCCTGATCTGTGCTCAGCAGACCAGTTCACATCCCTGCCCTCACCCTCAAGGAGCCCTCAAGGACTGAAGGATTCAGTCTAGGTATACACCAGACTGAACAGCAGGGGGTGACGACAGTCACGGGTCTGAGTGGACAGCTAAGTGATGGGTGGACACGCAACCCAAGGACACTCCGCCAAGGCTGAAAGGCTCCAGGAGGAAGGGACACAAGTGAGGCTTGAGCCAGAAAGATTATTAAAACATGAATTCAGTAAACCTGGGGTGAGGCCCAGCAACCTGCATTTCTAACCAGTTTCCAGGGGTGCCTACACTGCTGCACCAAGGACCACACTTCCCAAAGCACTGAAGCCCATTGGCAACAGATGAGCACGCGGGGCCCCGTGCTCAGACTGGCGTGGCCTGGCCCAGCGACGTTGGGGATGAAGGAGAAGGGGAGAGGGGAGGCGGTACCAGGTCCTGTCGAGCTGCTGGTTCCGAAGCCAGGGCTGGGGCAGGCTCTTCATTCCTGTTCCAAGCCCTACGCTGGCCGCAGGTGGGTGCCCCTTCCTTCTGGTTTCCACACCACCCTACAGTGCTTCTGCAGGCTAAGCACCCCTCATCTGAAATGCTTGGGACCCACACTTCATATATACCTTACGTACATAGCCTCAAGATAATTTCATATAAATATAATTTTAAGTAGGTTTGTGTGCGAGAGGAGAGTTTCATGGGGTGGAAGTTTTGCTGCATCTGGTCATCGCTCAGAAAGCTTTGGATTTTGAAGCATTTTGGCTTTTAGATGTTCAGATTAGGAATGTTCAACCTGTAACCGAAATAACAGCTCAGATGCCAGGTCCTGGACTAAAACCGGGTGCACATTAGCTCACTTGACACCCTCAGTAACCCTCTGGAGTAGACATATGTGATTTCTATTTTAAGATTTGGACACAGAGGCACAGAAAGATTTGAGAGTTTACCTAAGAACACAGAGCTGTCCGAAATGGTGCCAAGACACACACCCATGTTGTTAAGTGCCATCTGGCCGCCAAAGCACAACCGTCTCGTTCCATGGGGTACACCAGGTCTGGAGTCATCACTTTCCGGGGCCAGGTGGGGGCAGGCAGAGGCAGCTGGTCCCAACAGAAGGCACAGGGGCTCCCAGGCAGCTGAGCTGGAACAGCTGGATTAAGACCCGTTGGTCCCCAGCCAAGGATTCCCCACAATTAGTAGCCTGGGAGTGTAGTCAAGCGAGCCTCTGCTTCTACAACCTGTTTTCCAAGTTCACTGAGAGCGATACTCTTTCACTGCCTCTCTCCAAACAGGATAATCCGAACCCCACAGGACTGTCACAAGGGGAAGATGAGATGACACGGGCCAGCCAATGAGTGTGACTCTTCCTCCACAGTCCCTGTGCTGGGCTGCCACCATGTACCCTGTGCGGCCTGGTTGCCTCTTGCAGCTGTAGACTTGGGGTGTTATTTCCAGCCGCTGAAGGTTGTCGGCCAAAGTTGTCCGGCTCTGTGGCTGGACCCGGAAACAGCCGGGGAAGGAGCTCTGAGTCGATCAGTGCCCCCCGGCGCCAGGCCTTGCCAAAGGCAGATCTCTTTGAGTGGCATGACAGTGAGGAGGGGGCAGGAGGAGAATGTGGAAGGTGACGATGGGAAGAACTTTGGCCTTGAACTGATAATGGCATAGGTTATGGTCTCCACTCCTCTCCTTAACTCTGTGACTTTGGGCAAGTCGCATGAGCCTCCCCAGTCTGTTTTTTTCTCCATAAATTGGAGTCAGTAATCCTTACCCAAGGTGGTTGTAAAGATTAAATGATAATGCGTACTTAAAGGTTTGGGACATCAGTGAGCAGTTTTTACTGGTGAAGGTCATCTCATAGCCAACCAATCTGGACACACACACAGCACATAGTACTTGTTCGTTTTTTCAAAAACATTTACTGAGCATCTACTCGGCCAAGCAGTGGTTTAGGCACTGGGAAGAAAACCGCGCATTATACAGATAAGACCCCTTTTTCCCAGAGCTTGTACTCCTGTGAGAGATGACAGTCAATCAGCAGCTAACTGATAAATCAGCAAGAAACAAAAGAATAGTGTTGTGGATACATTTAAAGTGGATGCGGTGATACCACAAGGTTCTCTCCATGTCTGCCCAACTGTGGGCTCAAAGATTGATGAGTGTAAACCAGGAATGGCCAAAGAATCCGCCTCCCCTCTCACGCTCACCCTCTAGCTGCGGGAGGACCAGATGTCTCTAGAATGTCTCCCAAAGCAATGGCCTCTGTATGTGGTTTCCAGGAGAGCAGCGCCCTCCGCTGAGTTTTCAGTGGACCGGACACGCCACTTAATGTCCTTCCTGACCATGATGGGCCCGAGTCCTGACTGGAATGTAGGCTTGTCTGCAGAGGACCTCTGCACCAAGGAATGCGGCTGGGTGCAGAAGGTGGTGCAAGACCTGATTCCCTGGGATGCTGGCACCGACAGCGGGCTGACCTATGAGGTAGGCGTGTACCTGTGGCGGGGAGCGGCACCCGGGCTTCTGGGGCACCTCACCTGGCACAGCCCTGTTCTGGGCATCCTGGACCCAAAGGTTTGTCATGGGAGACCCACGGGTCTCATCGTCACTTATGGCAGGGTTTGGGATCTAGGCAGTGTTCGTGCAGTGGCCAGGACAGCACAGAGAGGGAATTGACTAAGGAACCGTTTGCAGGTCAGCAAGGGAGCAGCATGCCAAGGCCGTGGAAGCAGACAGAACAGAGACAGTGAGAGGAGGAAGCTGGCATGTTTGTCTAAGGCTAGAGTTTTATTCTGTCCTGAGTGTCCTGTTTCTTAGACATATCAGCTGCATCGAAATTTGGAACCATCCGAAAATCGGTGGAAGAAGAGTCTAGAACAGACATCAGCACACTATGGTTTTGCGGACAAACCTAACCTACACCCTGATTTATAAAGTTGTCAAAACTAGCTACACTCACCCAATTAAATACTGAATACTGTCTGCAGCTGCTTTCCCTCTTACAAGGGCTGAGCTGAGTAGCTGTGACACAGTACAGCTCATAGCCTAAAATATTTATCATTTGATCCACTACCAAAAAAAAAAAAGTTTGCCACCTGGTCAGTAGGAAGAGCTCTGGATTCAAGCCGAGCTGGCTCAGCCATTTCTGAGCTGGGATGACCTCTCTGAAACTTGGCCTCCACATTTGGGCACAATCTTACCACACATGGGAAAGAATGTTAAAGTCTAGCTCTATACACGTCTGAGCACAGCATATGGTACAAATGGAATTCCCTAAGTAGAGTTACACTTGTTAAATTCCCATCAGAATTTTCATCCTGATCAATATAACAAATTGCTTTATAGTTTTTATGTTTTTATTCCCCACTCTATTTTTCCTGCAGTCACCAAACAAGCCCACAATCCCCCAGGAGAAAATCCGGCCCCTGACCAGTCTGGACCATCCCCAGAGTCCTTTCTATGACCCGGAGGGCGGGTCCATCACTCAAGTAGCCAGAGTTGTCATCGAGAGAATCGCCCGGAAGGTACTGGGGTCAAGAGGACCACGGTGGCTGTGTATCTTTTTGTTCTAGAGTCATAAGACCCCTGGCAGGTAGCACCTTGGGTTAGGGGGTTCTTAGGCCTCCCCGTGTTTTTCCTTTGCGAATTACATGTTAAGATGTAAATGAGCAAGAGGACCTCCATGGTGAGGCCCACTGATCCAGTGAATGACTTGATCCAGGCAGATAGGTTTCATGAATCCCACTGTCAACTACTGAAGTCTGATGTGGTCAGGATTCCTGCTTACCCACTCTTGCTCTCACACATTTCTTTTCAGGTAGTAAATGTTGGCCCAAATGCCTTAGGATTCACCCAGGGTGGGCCTTAGAGTTTATGTCCTCCTCCATCTTTCTCCTGCACATTCCCTCCTCCCTCTAAGTTAACATGTGAGCCCTCCAGTTAAAATTCCTTCTGCAGGGGGAACAATGCAATATTGTGCCTGACAATGTTGATGATATTGTAGCAGACCTGGCTCCAGAAGAGAAAGATGAAGGTAAGTTATTACCCCTCATTGTGGAGGGGCGACAGAAACTGGCATGACACTTCAAGACACTTTGCTTCTGCTTGGGGGGGGTGGTCTTTTTAGTACCAAGGATTGAACTCAGGACCTCAGCACTTGCTGTCATGTTTTAAGAACCATAAACATAGTCTTGACTTGATGATCCCATCTATGAGGATTTCTCCCCAAGAAATAATCCGGATACTTGGGTGTAGTTCAGCAATAGTGCACCTACCTGGATTTAACACCCAGTAACACCCTCACCCCAGCCAAAAAAAAGGATAAATGAGACCAAAATTCGGTACTAATCATAAGGTAATAGGTGCAGGTATGACACTGGGGTAGGCATTGAACAGTGTCAACCCTTTAAAATGACAATGAAAATGAATGGGCTTCTTGGAATTCAGATCATGCTGCCTTGACCTGAGGTAGGCACACCATCCACCTCCTCAGCAAGGAGGGAGGCCAAGCTTCTAGTCAGGAGGGGCACAGCAGAACTATAACCTGAACTTAATTTTGCTCATGGAATCTGGAGTCAGATAATTTAGACTCACATGAGCCCTGTGACCCTGGGAACCTTTCTACTTCAGGACCCACAACTGTAAAATGGGCCATAACAACAGAACCTGACGCATAGAAAGTTATGAGGATCAATGGGATAAAACCCAACATTCTTCGAATGGCACTGTCACATAATAAGCACTCAGCAAACATCGGCTCTCCTTACTCTTATCGTGACCCTTGTAGGAGACAGGGTGTCACTGGAAGACAAAGTCGCAACACCAGAAAAGAGCCTTATGCTTTCCACAATGGCCTATGGGATGACAGGTACCTGCAGGAGTGTGGAAACAATGTCCGCCAAGGTCGGGGATTGGTAATAAAAAGCTCTTCCTGAGTGAAGAGAAAGGGATACTAAAACATTGTTCCTATCATGTAGGGTGCTGAAATGTAGTTTTTAAAGGGAGGGAACTGCTACTCCCACCCCTGGAGCACTGAGGCTCATGAAGGCTGGACAGGCAGCAGGACTTTCTTCTGCCCGAGTGAGCCTGTTGGGGAGTGGCCAGCCACAGCTTTCCTGGTTCCCTAGGAAAACCTGCCACTCACTCTTTCCAGATGACACCCCTGAAACCTGCATCTACTCCAACTGGTCCCCGTGGTCAGCCTGCAGCTCTTCCACCTGCGAAAAAGGCAAAAGGATGCGGCAGCGCATGCTGAAGGCACAGCTGGACCTCAGTGTCCCCTGCCCAGACACCCAGGACTTCCAGCCCTGCATGGGCCCCGGCTGCAGTGACGAAGGTAAGGAGCCAGCCCAGAGCAGCTAGCAGCAGCCCAGGAAAGGTCTGAGGGCAACGCAAGCCTCTCACACCCAAGCAGCAGTGGGACCCTGGCTGTAGTTGTTGGCGAGGTCAAACCCAAGACTTCCTGCAACATCTTGAGGGCTCAGAGCACAACCACAGAGCTAGCAAACATAAACCCATCTTACGGCAAATTAGAAAAAAGTAGCCTGCTCCTGGGCCTTAACACCAACTGCTCCAAGACAATCTAGGTCCATGGCCCTGATTCTGTCACCCGGCTACCCCTCCTTGGTATTCCACCTCGGCCAGAGCACTTGTGCGGCTGATTGCAGAGATCTTCAGTCTATCTGCACCTGCTCAAAGGTCAGGCTTAAACTACACACTTGCAATACCTATGGCATGGTGGTTCCAGCTTCCAGATTGCATGAAGCTGATTGCAGCGCAAAGGTCTCTGCCTCCCAAGGGCATGGCTCGGCCTGGACAGATCTGTCCTCTTCCTCTGATCGGATTCTCTCAGGGGTACAGTGAGGTTGTGGGAAGAGAACATACAGGCTGGCCTGAAGGAAACCACTTCCTACCCCGGGCCACATCGCTCAGCTCTTCTGCCTCTCCAGGCCATACTCTCAGATGGTTTATTGCTAACTGTTTTTGCCCAAAATAGGACATTTTGAGGGGAAAGAAAACCTACTGTAGGAAGGTCACTGCAACAAACAGGAGAAGGGCGAACAGGCGGTCAGTATTGAAGGCTCTCTTCTGGGGCTGGAGAGCTGTGTCAGAGACAATGTAAGCCAAGATCTTTAACCTCCTCCTCCACAGGGAAGAGTCCATCTTCATACCAGCCAGGTGGCTCCAGAGGGAAATGACAGTTCTGAACCATCCTGCCTGGTACTTGTTCCTTGTACCTGGGGATCAAGCTACCCCTTCCAGAACTAGAGTTCTCTTATATACACATCAAGTTCCAGTACACACTAAATTGTTTGGGGGAATCATTGGATAGGAAGGAAGCAGAGGTCTCTGGATATTCTGAAGAAGTGTTTGTAAGATAAATATACTTCACTATATCATACTGACTGCATCTTCATTGGGTTTCTCATTGATCTGGGCCAAGCCTGTTGGCCCAACCAACCCTTGATGTCTCTTTCCCACTTTTGTCCCTCTCGCAAAGCAACTTTCATATCTTTTGCTGAGGAAAATCTAATCACACAAACCGAGATGAAAAATTTGTGGTTCCATATTGCCCACGTGCAAACTTCTCAGCTTAGTAAACTCGTGAAGTGGTCCTGCAAAGAACCAGGGCAGAGACACACTGACACCCAACAAAATATTATACTAAAAAATGTAAAGGCACCTGAGGCCGTGAGGGGTAGGGGGTACATGAAGGGTAAGGCCTTTAACACTTCCTCTCAGAAGGCACACTCCTGTTGATGGTGACCTGCCAAGGAAACTTCTTGTCAGGCCTTGGGAAGCCTGAATTATGGCCTGTCAAATCCCATCCCTACCCAACTGTAGCAAACCAGAACATAATTATCTAAGTTGGTTGTAGTTAGTCTGGTCCAATGGTCTAATATGTGGCTTCCAGCTGAAACTTCTTGGTGCACCATAAGCCCTATCTAGCCACACAGTCCATAGGTTAAATACCAATGTCCAGGCATCACGCAGATGAGTGTCTATGAACATGTGCATTCAAGACTTCAGTTCTGGCTTCATTTCCCAATAACATGCACATACGGCTGTTTGTATAAGCTGGTCCCTTCACCCTAAGTGCAAATATACTTTACCCAACAAAAGTGCACTAAGATGTGCCTTCTAATGTGAAATTTTATTCAGAACTCTGAGAGGAAACTTTTTCCTGCTGTGTGCTGCCTGATTCCCTTGTCCCATTTTATTGTCAGCCTATGTGCTCACTCTCAAGAATAGGGCAAGATCTGAATCTTACATAGCTTTATAACCTTGGAAAATACCACTAAACATTCAGGAAATGTTCTTGAATAGATGGGTAGGTGGGTGAACAGATGACTTCATTTTCCTCTTCTGCTTCTAGAACCAAAGCAGGTACACACATACACACCCATGTTTGCACCTTGGGAGTTCTCTCTACCACCCTGGCCAACAGTCCCACCAAGTCATATAGTAAGGTTCCTTTTTATTTCCTCCAACAATCTCCCAATGTCTCCACACCCATAGATGGCCCAAGACACACAGAAGGCTGCTTATACAGCCTTCGTCACCCTACCCTCCCAATCCCACACCAGACCAGGCCATTTGTTTCTAATTAGCAATTACCGTCCTTGTGCCTGTGGCTCCTTGGCATAATCTGCTCTTAGGGTACTGATCAGTCCTGAGTCCCAAAGCCCACCACACTCTCTCCTCAGGAATGAAACTGCCTCCTCTACTGTCATTTCTAGACTGGGGACCTCACAGCTTTACACAGTAACTGAAGTCTCTGGTTCCTCTAAACAAGAGCTTACACACCGCTTCACAGACTATAGATTTCTCCCAGCGCTGTCCAAAATAACTTTCCGCAGTGATGAACATGTTCTACCTCTGCACCAACATGGTAGCCACTGGGCACACTACTGAGTGTGATTGGTGACTAAAAAGTTGAATCTGTATTTGCTAGTCCTAGCTATGATTCATTTTGGCTAGATAATTTATCGATATACAGTAGGAGGTGTACGCACATTTCCTAACCATTCAGGTATCCTTTAAACTTTTTTTTGGTACGGGGGATCGAACTTGGATCCTTGAGAGTCAGAGTCAGGCAGTGGAACCACTGAGCCAAACCCCCGGCTCCTTTAAATGTATTTTTGTAGAATATATTGAGCGCTCCACACATCTGGACGGGGGGCTTTCCTCTTAAGAGAACAGTCGGCTGCTTCAAAGGCTTAGACCATTTATGTTGGCACCCCATGAGTGGCGAGGCACGGGTGCGAAGTGTCCCGGTGGGGTCCGGCCCCACATGGCCCTAAAGTGGCCGGGTGTGGTGTGTTCCAGACGGCTCCACCTGCACCATGTCCGAGTGGATCATCTGGTCACCCTGCAGCATCTCCTGTGGCACCGGCATGCGGTCCCGGGAGCGGTATGTGAAGCAGTTCCCAGAGGACGGCTCCGTGTGCACGCTGCCCACCGAGGAAACCGAGAAATGCACAGTCAACGAGGACTGCTGTGAGTGCGGGGCAGCACGGGCGGGGCGCGGCGGAGCCCGGGGCCTGGTCTGGGGCGCTTGAGGCCAGCTCTGCGGGGCTCCCCAGCTCCCAGCAGCTGCCTGATGACCGAGTGGGGCGAGTGGGACGAGTGCAGCGCCACCTGCGGGATGGGCATGAGGAAGCGGCACCGCATGGTCAAGATGAGCCCGGCGGACGGCTCCGTGTGCAAGGCTGAGACCACGCAGGCGGAGAAGTGCATGATGCCTGAATGCCGTGAGTGGGAGCGGGAGGCTACGGGGCAGGGAGCTCGGGCGACTGGAGAACCAGGGCACTGCCTACCACCACCAGGTCAGGGGCTACCGGCCCACCGTCCTCAAAGCACTGCAAGAGCTAAAGGAGAGCCGTAGCCGTGCGGGCCAGACCCACACAGACCGGCCTCCTCCGAAAAGCGTTCTCAACGGTGATGGCCTCTGGAGAGGGTGGCCCGCAGCTGTCTCACAGACGCATCCCCCGTGCCTGGTGCACTCTCTCACTCTGGGTGAGCCAGGACCACTCCTGCCGTGAACAAACGCACACAAAGGCAGAGCAACACACATTCAAGGGATTTCAGTATCAAAGTGTTCAAAAATGCAGCCTGGAGTGCTTGTCTTTAGTGAGCGCCCCTCAGATGTTCAGTGCTGTTTCAAGTGTAAACTTGTACACTCAGATTATTGACTTCATCGGATATCAGGTCGTGACCACCAGCTGGGCCACAAGAGATGGAGGATCTCGCTCCAGGGAATTCACCCTCACTTTACTCCAGGGAACAGAGCAGGGGATGAGGGCAGAGTATTGCGGGGCCCGTTCTCAGGGGCAAATCTGGCCTTGACCTAGACACCATCCCATGCTTGCTGTCTCCATGGTCCGAGTGGAGCGACTGCAGTGTGACCTGCGGGAAGGGCACGAGGACCCGCCAGCGCATGCTCAAGTCCCTGGCGGAACTCGGGGACTGCAATGAGGAACTGGAGCAGGTGGAGAAGTGCATGCTGCCGGAGTGCCGTAAGTCCTGGGGCCCTGGAAAGCCACCCCTTCCCTCCTGGGCAACTCCGAACAGCCCCAGGCTATGGTAACACTGGTAGTAAGATGTTTCCTGGGGAGAAAGGAGGTGAGGTTTGGCTGTGCTGACACATTCAACTCCTTAGTCAAGCTCATTACCATCTGCAGGTGGCTACAGAGTCAATCTTGAAATGCCACAAATCAGCCCTTAGTTGTCTCGCTTTCCCCAACCCCAAGTAAGGGGGTTGTCTGACCCAAGAGTTTTGTAAGCGTTTCAATTCTATTCCTCCTCCCTGTGACCACTTTATATACCCTTGACCAGAAGCTGGGCATTAAATCAATGATTCCTGCAGCCTAGTGAGAGGACATCAAGAAAGCAAGCCAAGTTCTCAAAAGCTTGCTGATCACCCCTATCTCCTCCAAAATCTGTGACAGAGCCAGTTTTTCTGGCTTATCTTTCACTGAGCTGCTCCTTTAGCTGGTGAAAGGGCAGGCATCCTTTTTTTTTTCTTTCCTGGTTTCCTCTAGAACACACTTGCTGTCTTTCAAGTTAGGTCTTTAAGACTCAGGCTGCCTGCCCAGTACATATACTCTGTCCTTTACTGGCAGCACAGCCTTCCGCACATTACTTATCCCTGCTCTGCAGTTTCCTCATCTGTAAAACAGCAGGAAATACTCCCTAGGTGGCTGTGAGGGTCACTCAATAATTGGCACAAAGCTTGGGCACTGGACCTGGCAGGTAGACTTCACTGATCTATCCTCAGCCCCTGAGCTGTTTCTAGACGTGGTTGTGGGTGCTGATAACCTGCACCATTCACTAACTACTGTTCAACCTAGCTCACTAGATTAGAGCCCGAGAGCCTTCCAGTGGGGACAATTACCAGCTTAAAAGTCCTTATACCACAGAGCCAGGTAAAGAGAACATGAACACTTATGGAACATTTTCTGGGTTAAGAGCATTACTTCATTTAAACTTTACAATCTAAGGAGAATACCATCATGTCCATTTGGCAGAAAAGAAATTTGCCTGAATTCCCAGAGAAAAATGACAAACTTCCTAGATGCAGTCTGGCCCTCCTTGTGCGAAGACAATGAATGGAGAGGTTAGCGTGCTAGGACATATCCTAAAAACCAGATCAATGTATTATTTCATATTTGTGAAGTGTTATTTTGCTGGAACTCACACTGTAATAAACCATAGACCACCAACTTGCTCTTGAGCCTCTACTGAATTTTCCATTTTTGGTCCCCATATTTTTCCATATACCACCACAGATAGGTCACAGGATGTCAAGAAAAGATGCTTGGACTTAAGGAGAGCCATGACATCCTTGGTATTGGTCTACAGGGCATTACTGATTGGTTCTCTCCAGAGTCAACAGTGAGGTAGCAGGGAACGTGTTGGCCTTGCCCTGAAAACTACCACCAGTGAACTGTGATTTTCCTGAGAAAATCTGGGTCCCTGGGCACTGCAGGAGGCCAGTCTGTGCCACTTGAGGCTGACGTGACAATACTTTAGTTCGTGAAACAGGGCAAGAGGCTCTGAATGCCTTCTTGACTCAGAGAAGGCATAGAATGTGGGTCATTACCTGGAACCAATCCTGCCTCACCTGTTTTTACCATGTGGGCTGGATAGTCAGTTTCCCTTTTGGAGCCAGTTTCTTCTATAAAAAGCATTCAGCAGCCTGAGATGTTCAGAGTGTGACATCGTTTCAGACCTGAGGTACACTAATGCCCATCTGTGTCTTGCCAGCCATCGACTGTGAACTCACCGAGTGGTCCCAGTGGTCAGAATGTAACAAGTCATGTGGGAAAGGCCACATGATTCGAACCCGCATGATCCAAATGGAACCTCAGTTTGGAGGTGCACCCTGTCCAGAGACGGTGCAACGCAAGAAATGCCGCATCCGTAAATGCCTTAGAAATCCATCTGTCCAAAAGCTGCGCTGGAGGGAGGCCCGAGAGAGCCGGCGGAGTGAGCAGCTGCGGGAAGAGTCTGATGGGGAGCAGTTCCCAGGTATGGCGCCCTGCGAGGGGCTGTTAGTGGGCTCCCGGACAGGCTTGGGTCTGCAGTGGGCTCAAAACAGTGAAGAGAATGCATTTCCTGGAGTGTTCAGACTGCATTTTAATTACATTTTCTTTGTACATGTCTTCTTTTTCCCCAAATATTATGAAAGCAAAATTCATAGGAACAGAACAGAGAATTTTATCAAAGGAAGTTTAAATAACATACCTAGCAGAATTTTCAAGCAAAATACCCTTGGGAATTTCCTAATTCCTTTCTTCACATCTTTAAGACCAGAAGTATTGTCCAGTCTTCTCGAAATCGGTTATGACTTGCTAACCCCATTCACTTTTTGCAAAATGGGGAAATAATGGCATGGGCTGAAAAGTCTTGACTGTGATTTAGGGAATGTTTTCCAAGACCTTTTAAAACAGATCCTCATCCATTCTACAAGTGTGGCTAAAACAAGACAGCCTTGGCTGCTGCTTGGTGCATTTCTTCAAGGCTAACCACAAAGTTTAGCAGCAATATCATGTCGGCCTTGAGTTTATTTCTTCAAGTACTGTGGATCCAAGCTGTCAAATAAGTGATAAATGCTCTAATAAAACAACCACTGGACATGGTGGCACAAAAAGTAAGGAGAGGTGCTACTGGCACTCAGGGCAGTGTCTTGTAACACTGCCAAACACCTTGCATTACACAAAAGAGCTCCCACAGCGAAAACCTTGTTTGCTCCAAATATCAGTAATATTGAAGCTGAAAAATATCATTCTAGGGGTTATATGGTGCTTCCACATGGAGACAGCAATAGTATTTTCTGAGCAGGCCTCCAGTCAAGATTATGGTTTTACTGTGGACATGGTGGTGCACACCTGTAATCCCAGCACTCAGAGGAGGCTGAGGCAGGAGGATCGCTGTGAGTTCAAGACCAGCCTGGCCTACATAGTGAGTTCCAGGTCAGTCTCAACTACATAGTGGCATCCTTTCACATACACACACAAACATAAAACAATGAACCTACGTGCTAAGGGAGCCAAGGAATAGACAGCTGATGTTGACTGGAGTTCCGGAGTTCCGGGAGATGCCACAGCAGGGAAAATTAGGCTAAGTCTTAAAAGAACTTCTAGGAGTTTGCCACTTGAATGCATTGCAGCTAGGAGTAACTGCTAGGGTACAAACATACCAAAGAGCATGGAGATGAGGCAGGAAACCAAGTGGAGAGGAGGCCAGTGGTCTGTTGATGATTTGGGACTCAGTACGGTGTAGGTAGTCTTAAGCTGGAGTGACTAACAAATCTATGTTGAATGATTTGGAGGCACACAGCAGAGTTATAGTTTTGTTTATAGTCCCCTCCTCCTGTACAAATTGAGGGCAATCTAGGAGTTAAATAAAAACAAAACCCCCTGCACTGTTATATAAGCTGGCCTGAAAAAATAGCACAGTACCAACAGCAAGCTACTGAGACAATGTACAGGAAGACCATGCTTATGTCTTGGGCACAGGCTGATGTTCCCTGGATTCCCTGGAGGGGTGAGGAAGGTACCTTTATAAAAGTGAAGGTTAATTAGTCATCAAGTTTCTGATTATTTTTAAAAATACAGCTCAAATTACTCCTTTTTTCCTCTCATCCTTCAGGTGCTCCTCTACCTAGGATGATGAGAGGAACGGATAGACTGTGAGAAGCTCCCTGACAGTTCACCATCCCTTTCTTAGGGAGCTGTTCCCACAGTCACTCAACATTCATTAAAAACAACCATGGGCCAGGCTTGGAACTTATCTAATGCACAGGCAGAGATCTGCTGGGTGCAAGGAGAAATATGTGCAGTGCTAAAGAAACATGCAAAGAAATGATCCAAGTCTCTGGGGGTCAAGGAGGTTTTGTTTTGGGGTTGTTTTGAGAAAGGCATGTTTATGCAGAGTAGGAGAAACAAAACAAAGAACACTGCTCTTCAATTCACTTAGTATTTGGGAGGCTAAGTACCTGGGCAACCAGGCATAAAAGAGAGTCTGATGCTCCTTGAGTATGTGCTGCATCTCAAGCTATTACAAAACAGTTGCTTTTAAAACCCATCTATTATTAATGTGCTGCTGAAGCTCAGTGACTCGCACTGAGCTTGGGCTCGTTCTCATTCATGTGGCCACAATCAACTGGGGCTGGAAGGGGCTCAGGGACTTCATCTGCATTTCTGGGGCCTCTCCCTCATAGGCTATCCAGACTTGCTTCCACAATTGTGCAAAAGTTCCTAAACACTTTTCTCAAACATGTTTTTGCTCAAGTTCCACTGGCCAAAGCAGTGACAAAACACTGTCCCTGACAGGAAGAACTACAAATCAATAATGCCTTTTATAGGCAGTTAATCTCACATGGGTTAACAGTCCCTAGTAGGGACCCTAACCATCAGTTAACTCAACAAATCACCATTTCCAGGAGCAGAGACGCCCAAATAAATGTGACAGTTCTTCTAGAGTCTAACATTCCCCTTCCATGGGCCTAACCAGACAATCTCACACTTGCAGGCTGTAAGATGCGCCCATGGACCACCTGGTCAGAATGCACCAAACTGTGCGGAGGCGGGATTCAGGAACGCTATATGACTGTAAAGAAGAGGTTCAAAAGCTCCCAGTTTACCAGCTGCAAAGACAAGAAGGAGATCAGAGCATGCAACGTTCACCCTTGTTAGCAGGGATACAAGTTCCCCAGGGCTTCACTCCAGATTCCACAGTCACCAATGATTGAGTGGATTGCTTGTTTAAGACTATTTAAATCATGTCCTCTAGTTTCCATTTTTGCAGTGTGGTTTGCCCCATAGTCTTGTGGATGCCAGGGACATCCTTTCTGAATATTTCTTGGTGGGTACAGCCTGAGTAGGGACCCCTCACCCTCAGTCAGCCCTCTTCCTGCACTGAAGTGAGCAGTCACCTTGTACTAACTGAAGGGTGTCCCTGGGAGTACCCACATGGCGGGAAGCCATGTCTGGAAAGGACTGCGTACCTGGGTCCCAGGGTGTGGCAGGTAGGAAACACCCTTGTCATCTTTGGCCAGGTCACTCTCTTGCAGAAAACTCTTTGCGCGTCTCTTTTCACTTAATGGAACTTTGGTTCTCTGTTACTTCTCTTCAGTCATCGTTACATTCTTGGGGAAAATGGTCAAGAGAAGCACTGATGACAGATGGCTTTTATTCTTACACTGAAAAATTCTGAATGCATTTATCTCACCTCCTAATACTGGTTCCTGGTACCCCAAAAGAAGAAAACGATGGCTGTTTCATTTAAATATAATCAGTTCTTATACCAGAGATAAAGGGTACTAAATGTAGAAGTAGTCTTTCCTTGCTTTTGTTTTCTGGTGCCCTAATTCTCCTAGAAACACAGCTTTACGAACCTACCTTTCAGTAATAGGTCCTTACTGGAACCAAGGCCAAAGCAGCAAAATAGGCCTACTGTTCCAAACCTGAATTTTAAGTTTTCAAATCAGTTTTCTAACAAGAAAACTCCAAGTCTTCCCAAAAGCTCCCAAACATCACTCCTTTAATAAAAAAAAAAAAAAAAAA